GGAAAGCCTGCAGGCATGGGACTCTGGTACGCGACAGCCCCGGCTGTGCTGCGCACGGCCGACGAGGCAGCTGCTCCACAGCTCCCTGGGGACCTCCAGCAGCCCAACAACTGTCTCCCTGCCGCAGCAGAGCTGGGGTGAGCAACCAGCCCCAGCACAGAGCACTGGGCAAGCAGGGCAGGGTGTGGAGCTCCTCCGCTCAGACCACGGATCTCTCCTCCCTCATCCCCTGGCTGGGGAGGACCCAGGGCAGGTCCCAGACGCCACTTACACTGCACAGTGCAATGGAGTAAAGGGGTTTCCTTCTAGGTACGCAAACGGATTGTGTTCAAGTAACAATTCAAGACAATCTTCATGCCCTGTGAGGAAAGAGGGACAGAAACGCATCAGCACCCAGCCTGCGGGTCCTCACCTGTAACAGCAGGAAGGGGCTGAAGGCTCCTCTGGCTCTCCCCACGTCCAAAGTGCCAGATGACCAGAGGCTGCACAGGACCAGCGGCACCAGAGAGCCCAAACCAACCCATTCCCCAGCACAGAGGCGGCAGCAGGTTTGTTTCCTCCGGCAGCAACGCTGCTGCCCTTCAGGAGGTCTCCAGCTCCACACCATCTCCTGAAGCACTCCACGGCCACATTGCTAGCTTCCCTTTGGAACGCTGAGACACCCCTTCCCGTCGCCGCGTCAGCCCCACCACTCCCTGCAGCCAGGGTGATGGCCAAGTAACCCCATAAATCCGGCAGCACTGGAGGAAGCAGCCTCAGCTGCTCTGTAATAGCTGTTTTCATATTTCGTTCCTCTTTTGAGGAGCTTGGCCTGGGGAGAAAAACCCCCTGCCTCCCTCCCAGATTTGCACCGTCCTTCCCATCAGGCTGAAGTCACTGCTGGGCTGACGGCTCCCAAAGCAGTGGGGGACAGAGGGACAACCTGGCTCTTCCTGGCTCCCTCCTGCCCATCAACAGCAGAGCAGAGGCGGGCAGGGGCCCGGCCCAGTCCTTACCACTGTACGAAGCCCAGTGCATCGGTGAGTAACCGCTGTAGTCCACCACGGAGTCCAGAGGGTCAGTAGAGAGGGCTGCCTGCAGCAGGGTCCGCAGGATTTCTAAGTGCCCGCACGCCGAGGCAAAGTGGATCGGGGTCCGGCCTTTGAAATCCCGACACAGAACGAAGGCATCGTGGTCCAGCAGCGCAGCCAGGCAGTCCTCACAGCCCGTCACAGCCTGCGGCCAGCAAAGAGGACCAGGAGCTCAGATCTCACCCTCCCATCATTTAACAACAGAGCCACCCCCTTCTTCCAAGCTTCCTTCTCACACGATGCATCTCAGGAAGTGAAGAGGGGCTCTCTCACTGAGCACCTTGCCACAAAAGAAACCATCCGCTTGCTCTCCAGGCAGCCTCCGCTCAGGAGGGTGAACAAAAGCCGCAGGGCTCCAGGCCTGCCCCGGTCCCGCGGACACACTCACCCCTCGGTGCAGGGCAGTCCTTCCCCTCTTGTCCGCTGCATCGGCTGTGGATCCCTTCTCCAGGAGGAGGTGGACACAGTCAACGTGGCCATTCATGATCGCCAGCATCAACGGGGTTCTGCAGCGGGGAGAGGCAGCAGGGAGGAGAGTGGGCTTGGAAGGCAGCTGGGCTCGAGCATTGCCCTCTGCGCCCTGCCCGGGGCCGGACCCCGTGCCACGCAGATCCCACGAGAAACACCCGGACAAACTCACTGGCCGTGGATGTCCATGACGTCGGTGATGTCTGCCCGCTCCCCGCTGTCTATCAGAAGGTGCAGGGAATCGGTGTTCCCGTTGGCAGCTGGGGACAATGCATAGGGAAAGGAGGAGTCACACACGCGTACAGACGGGTCCCCTCTCCAGCCACCGCCGCAAACCCAAGGAAGGGGCTCGCGCCAGCAGCCAGGCACACACGGCTGAGCAAATTCGTTCGGCGGCTGCTAGGCAGCAGGACTGATCAGCATGTGCACAGGCTGCGCTGAGGACACGTGTGTGCAGAACCTGCCACTGTCCTCTCTCCCACCCGCTGCTGAGCCACACCATGGCAGCCTGCTCTGGCCTCGTCCTGCTCTGAGCATCGTCCCAACGCGCAGCCCCTTCCCTCGCCCCCAGCTGCAGGTGGGTGAACGGCAGCCTCGGCAGTGGTGGCACCGACGCCTGGAATCGCTCTGGACGCGCTCCCTCGCTGCCCACGGCCATCCCCAGCCCCCTCCACCCCCCGTCACCTGCAGCGTGGAGAGGGGTCCACTTCCTCTTCCTCTCCTTCACCAGCGCGGATGCGCCGTGGCTGGTGAGCACCTCCACACACTGCATGGAGCCTCTCTCCGTGGCGAGGTACAGTGCCGTCCGCCCCTTGTGGTCCCGCACGTCGAGGTTCACGAGGGTTTCGGCAAGTGTCTTCAGGGCTTCACAGTGACCATTATAGGCCTAAGGTCAAAGCAGACCGCGTCAAAGTGGTGCCTGGAGAGGCTGCACCCAGGAGTCGTCCCCCCCAGACACCTCCTGCCCCTGGGTCCCTCCAGCCACGCGGGCTCCGGCCTGGCCATTGCCTCTCGTGTGTGCCTGGGTCCCACACAAAGTCCTCGCCCGCTCCCACCCCCCAGCAGAGCAGGGAGGTGGCTCCAAACCGAGCTTAACACACAAATCAAAGGCCTGTGGGGAAAGCTGCTGCCCAGCTGCCAGCGCCTTTCCTCTGGTGCCCTGCTCTGCACCGACAGCAGCCAGGACCCAGCCCGCGCTGCCTGGGAGCGGGCACCTCCCCAGGGCTCAGCATGAGCCCCGCACGGAGCCAAGGGCCTTCCGCAGCCCCGGGGCTGAGCCAGCTGTACTTACAGCTAAGTGCAAAGGGCTGACTGGAATGGTGCTTTCCACGTCCTCCAGGCAGTTAAAAGACATCTCCAGGAGCTGCAACAGCAACAGCACGAAACCGTAACCGACCCAGGAGTCACGGCAGCTTTGACAGACACCCTGCCCACCAGCAGGCTGCAGAGGGGTTACAAAACCTGCTCATCTGCTTCAGAATGCTCTGAATTTCAGGACAGGACCTTCCTCAGCCTGGCCTTGGGCCCTGCATAGGCAGTCACATCAAGCCCCTGCTGTCCCGAAGCCTCCCCACTGCTCACACGGTTTCCTATGACCACACGGCTGCAAGCCCACCCTGCAGCAGCGCAGGCACCTCAAACAGCTCCAAGGCACTTCCTGCACCGCAACAGCTCTTCCGTGGCACAGGTGTCCGGGCTTTCTTTCAGCAGTCCAACCTTGCCCTATTGCCAGGGCTTTAAGCAAGACATCCCCACGTGCTCCTGTGCCAGGTAGCAAAGCTCCTTTCTCTCTGGCATCTCACTCAGGCCCGGGTCTTTCCTCTGTGGTATTCCCAGCACAACGGATCCCCAGGAGCCCTCGTGCTTTCAGATCAAACCGATCTCCCTGACACCGTGGTGCCTATACTGCACACAGCCCGTTAACCACACCTGGACACCGCAGGCCCCGGCATGTCCCTTAGGGGGAGCTTCCCCCCTTCTCCTGGCAGCAGAGGGTTTTCTCCAGCTCACTCACCAGTTCGAGGTTCTGCCTGTTGCCGTACGCAGCTGCATAGTGGACAGCGGTGTATCCCTGCTTGTCCCGGAGGGATGGGTCAGCACCATTATCCAGCAAGAACTCTAAACAACTGCAACAAGCGAGAGAAAGGGGAGATCAAGAAAAAGGGGAGACTGGAGAGGCAGAGCTCTGCAGGGAACCCCCGACTGATCTCAGAGCAGATGCTGCGCTAATCCCCTCAAGACACGGAGCGCATGCAAAGCCAGCTGGAAGTGAGGACCAGGAAGCAAGGGCCAGGTTTGCCTCGAGAATCCAACCAGCCGGTGCTTTCTCTGAGGCATCACAGCTCAGCTCAGCGGAAGCAGAAGCAAGGTATTTCTAGCAACCGCACACAGGGGTCTTGGGACGGGGCAAGCAACAAAGAGCTGCCAGACGGGGCTGCGGCGGACTCACAAGAATGCCTCCTTCAGCCTGGACTCCTTCAGTGGCTCCTCATCAGTGTCATGGCTGTTTCCTGAATGAGTCTCTTCTCTGGAAGGAAAGAGACCAGCGTCAGCCTGCTGACCACCCCTCCCAGCCATGCTCCTCGCAGAGCATCCCTCTTCGCAAGCCACTGAGCACCAGCTGCGGGGAGATGGCCAGGGAACAGCAGAGCATCGCCGCCCAGCCGTGTGCCATCGTCCCCAGCCCCAGCAGTGAGGGGCACGCGCCCCCGAGACACTCACCTCCTGTACGTGTCCGAAGCAGCAGCATAGTGTAAGGGGGTACAGCCTTTACAGTCGGCCTCGTTAATACTGGCTCCTCCCGTGACCAGCGTCACTGTACACTGATAGCTGCCATTGGCAGCTGCGTAGTGCAGTGGAGTCCTGGGAAGGGGGACAGGAGAAGGGGGCTTAGCAGCACAGCCTGTCACGCAGATGGAGAAACTCTCCTGGCCGCAAGGCAGGGCCCTGGGCGCCAGCCACCCCCCACTGTGGAGCTGAGCCCTGTGCAAGGGGTCCGGTCAGCAGCTCCTTCTGCAGACCCACAGCCTGGACCCCTTGGAGCAGGACAGGGGAAAGGAAGCAGCTTCAGACACCGAGTGCAGCAAAGCTCTCGGGAACATCCCAACCAAACCCAGGCTCGGGGCGCTCCAGCTGTCTCAGCACTGGAGGAATCGCCCTCGCTCCCTTGCAAGGCCCACAGCACACTTACCTTCCAAACTTATCTCTCCTCCTCAAGTCAGCACCGCTGCTCAACAGCAAATTAAGACATTCAACGTTCCTACAGGAGGCAGGGAGATGAGTTAGAGACAGACCAGAAGGGACCACAGCAGGAACAAACTCCTCGCGGCTGCAGACCAGCCAGCCACGCTTCCCATCCGCACAGCCCGGACCTGCTGAAGCTCAGTCCAGCTTCTCATCTCCGGGCGGCACAAGAGCCGCAGCCACAGCAGAATGCTGCGTACACAGAGCTCTTCCCTGCTCTCCAGTGAAATACCCCTCCACGCTTCCTGCCTCACCAGTGCTACCCTGCGCCGCACGGAGCTCTCAAACAGCCAGGCAATTACAGAGAGACATCAGCCACGGCAGCAGTGCAGCTGACGCACTGGATGTCACGCTCCAAAAAAGATCTAGGATTTCTGGCTTCTGCGTCAGTGCTTTGCTCCCGCCGCTCAGGCACGGTAACTGCGCTGCGCTGCCGAGGGACGGCTCAGGGTCTGGCTCTCCAGCATCGCTCAGACAGGACAGAAACCAGGTCCTCGATGGGACCCACACCTCTGCCGTATCGCTGCAGCCACGTTTGCTCCCAACGCGCCGCGTGAAATCAAACCTCCTGGCGAACAACAGGAGGCATTTACACAGCCCCCTCAGTCCCTGCTGCTTTTCAGGCATCAGCTTGGGAGCCCCTGACGAAGCCCCAGCCAAGGAAGCGTTTTAGGCCCATTTTAAAGAAGGTAAAACAGTCACAGAGGGGAGCAACCGGGACGAGTCACAGGGTCAGTGGCAGAACCGCTCGAAGCTGGGAACAGCACCCAGGGGTCCGACTCCCTGTCCTGACCAAAGCTGTGCACTGGGCTGCCCACGCTGGGCAGAGAGGAGAGGTTACGGGCGGAGAGGAGGGTTATGGGCTGGGCTGGGGGCCGGCAGCGACCTTCCCGCGTGCAGCGTGGGACCAGCACCCCACGCACTGCTCACCCTCCAGAAGCAGCAGCGTGGAGGCAAGTCCTCCCGAGGTTGTCAGGTGTGTTGATATCGAAGCCTGCAGACAGCACGTGCTCATTGCTCAGCGAGGAGACGATACTGTACAACTGACCTGGGCGGCAGAGGGGCAGGGAGTCAGGGGGAAGCCCGAGGGTCCCCCAGGGCCCCGGCGCAAGAGGGGCAGACGAGCCACTCACCTGAGGAAAGTAGCTTACGACAACAGTCTGAAAATCCAAAGAGAACAGCTAAGTGCAGAGGGAACATGTCGTGGATCCCACGCCTGTCAGGAGACGGGAAGGGAGTCAGGATGGATCATTTCCACATCCTCCAGCCCAGGGCACGAAAGGGAGGAAGAGTCCTTCCTTACCTTGCAGTGTCAGCACCATTCGTCATCAAAGTACTAATTAGCAGCTCGTGGCCATATCTAGCAGCAACGTGGAGGGGGGTATTGCCGTATTTGTCAGCACAGTCAATCTCACTGCCTAGAAAGGAAGAGACAAGCGCTTTGCCAGCGAGTCCCTGCGTTCCAGTCCTGAGCAGCCCAGGCTGTTGTGACAGCCACATCCCAGTCTCAGGGACATGGCTCATCAGTCCGTTCAGCATCATGCAGAGGAAGAACTGTAAACTGCTCTGCGAGCTGAGGGTCCACTTGTATCCTGCAAATCCAGGGCATTAGCTCTCTCGCCCTTGCCCCAAGAGGGGATGCGTTCAGCCCCAGAGGTCTCCAGCTGAACCCCGAGGTGTCTGCCAGGTCGGCAGCCCTCTTTGAAGAATATTGTCTTTCAGGCTGGACGTGGCAGTGGGAACATTCTTTGGCTGCAGGAGCTCTGACCTGGCTGGAATTTCAGTCTCCTGACCTGCACTTTGCTGCCCTTGCGGGCATGCACGCTCCCTGCCATCCCCAAGCAGCACACGGCCACTGGCAACAGCCCCAGGAGCACAGAGTGAATTTGAGTGGTAATTTGGAGCTCTTAAACCCTCCGAGCAAACACGCAGGGAGGTCCTGCGGGCAGCTTCTGAGAAGCACAAGAAAAGGCTGGGGTAACCCAGGGCCGGAGGAAGAAGCCACTCACCGTTCTGAATGAGGATCTGCGAACGCGTGAACCGTCCGTGAATGGCAGCCATGTGCAAAGGGCTCTTCCCTTCCTTACTCTGCAAAGAGCAGAAGCCACGTCGCACCAGGCTTCCCACAAGCCTCCCCCAGCTCTCCCGCCAGGCAGCGGGTCCCCGCTCCCCCATCCCCAAGCTCAGCCCCTCGGTGCCAGACCTGAAAGTTGACGTCGGCCCCGTTGTTCACGAGGAGCTCCAGGCACAGTGCCCCATTGGTGGAGACGGCAGCAAAGTGCAGAGGGGTGAAGCCCTTCTCGTTAGGCTGATTGACATTGGCGCCATAGTTGACCAGCTCGTTGGCCACGGCATCTTGGCCCATGTAACAGGCAATGTGAAGTGCAGTGTTACCGAAGGAATTTGGTTCATCAATCTGCGGGAGCAACAAACCCCAGAGGATTTGGGGATAAAGGAAGAAAAAAAGGCAGCTGAGAACCAGCCAGGACTCCTGCCACCCCCCAGCACCCTCTCCCACTCCTGTCTCCAGCCCGGTGTGCGCCCAAGCCCACCCTGCTCACAGTAACGGTGGTCCTACCTCGACTCCCAGCCTCAGCAGGTGACGCACAACTTCGATCTGGCCACTGGCCGCCGCAGTGTGCAGCAGGGTGTAGCCCTTCTTGTCCTTACACATCACGTCAGCTCCCCGGGCCACCAGCAGCTTCAGAACTTCCAAATGCCCTGTCCAGGAGACAGCGGTAAGAGCCGGCAAGCCCCGGAAAATGGAGACTGGTGCACAGTGGCCTCCGGGGATCCCCACCACCCCGAAAGGTGAATCCACAGGCAGCACACGACGTGGGAGAAGAAAGCGGACCAATGCCCGTGGGGAGAACCCACCTAGGAAAGCTGCCCAGTGGATGGGCTGGCGGTCCTTCTTGTCGCAAGTGCTCAGGCTGGCCCCTTTGTTCAACAGCAGGTTCACCATCTAGACGGGGAGAAGCGGCGAGAGGTAAAGCTGCAGACCCTGCGCAGGCAGAGGGCGGGCATTGACATCTGCCGAGTGCTTCAGGAGGAGGTGAAGTGCTTTCTGGTAGGGGCAGAGGGAAGACGAGCTCTCACCCAGCCCACCGGGGCCCGCGGAAGCCCCCAGCCAGGTGGGGGAAGCTGCAGCTCCATCCAGCTCTCGCTGTCAGCACACACAGGGCTGCCCAGCTCCAGAGCAGCCCGCAGCCCCGAGAGCCAGAGCTGCCTGTGCGGGGCCGAGCCAACTGCCCGGCATGCTCACACGTCCGGCTTCTCCCCACGCTGCCAAAGGGACGGACTCGTTCGCTTTTGTGTCCCTGGCGACATTCTGAAGCCCAGATACAGCAGTGTTTCAGCACGTTATCACAGAGAAAGGGTGAGGGGGGTAAAAGAGAGACTCCAAGAACGAGCAGGGAGAAGGAATCTTCCCTACGGGAACCCTCCAGCCCTCACCTGGGCTGCTCCAGCTCCCTCCGGGCTGGAGTTCGGTGTGTGGGACCCGAATGAGCCGGGCTCATTGCACCCAAGCGCGGCTGTGCAACGCGGCTGCGCGGTGGTGCCAGCATGGGAAATACCTCCACGCCACAGAATGCAACTGCAAGTGAGTGTTCCTCCACGACTCACGAGGTGCGAAGCACCCAGGGGATGACAAACATGACCCACTGACCTACATTTGATAACTGTTTCCCCCTTCTGCTTGCAGAGGCTGGTTGCTGCAACCCAGCACTGCCCTCGCTCCAGTTCACGGGCTGCCCACTCCCACGCCGCATCAGGGCAGCGCTTCCAGCGATCCCAGCCCCACGGCTTGCTGCTCTGCTCTCTTTTCCCAGAGCTAGCTGATGCCCCTCCCAGCTGGGAGAAGCAGACGAAGCGTCCAGGCAGCACACAAACCCAGCAACGCTAGAGAGCGGCTCTAGGCAGGAGCAGCCGGGAAGCACGAGGCATTTCGGGCAGGCTCCTCTCGGGAGCTGGGCACGGAGGGCCCTGGCAGAGTCCTGTGCCAAGCACACCGGGAAGAACGGAACCAGGGAGGTGACTCTCCAGCACACCTGAGCCGGGGCAGAGAAGCAAAGAAGCGTGCTCAAATTCACCGCCAAGCAGCACTGCAGACCTGACAGCAAAGTGGTCTTGGCTTGCTGAGCTCCCACATTTCAGCGACCCACGGTAACTGTCCACACACGCTCACAGCAAACGCCTTCAGTAGAGGTTTACACCAATGGGTTTCATCGTCTGCTGCCGATTAAGAGAATTCACACCACCAGTCGATGTGTGGTAACTCGCCCTGCATGTCAGAGCGGGGCTTCGGATCCCCTGGCTCCAACCAACAGGACCACAGAGCTTCGTGCTCTCCAGCAGCTCCAAACAGGGCAGAGTTAAGTGGGGTGAAGTTAAGCCCACAAAAGCTAAATGTCAGGAAATCTTTCCAACAAGATTCATTGGCATCAGCTCCTGAGAGAAAGGGTGAGAGCCCCCATCATCCCTCAAACATATGTGAAGCTGGAGTAACCAAAGCCCTGGGGAAGGGGGGAAAGCGAGGAGGAGGATGCTGTGGGGAAAACCCACGTACTAACTCCTGAAGGATGGAGGGACAGGAACGAAGGAGATTTTTCTTTCCAGCTCTCATTCTCAGCCTCTGAATTATGCGCTCGTCCCCTCTCCGCTCTAACGAGACCACCCACCTCAGCCCAAACCAGTCAAGAAGGAAACGAGGAGAAGCGCAGTCCCCTCCTCCCGTCAGCGCCCACCACCCCCATGCAAGGAGCAGGGGGAACCCACCTCATTGCGAGACGCCGCGGCGCGGTGTAACGGGGTGAGCCAAACTGTGTCCTTCGCGTTAACATTAGCACCTGAGGAAGAACAAAAGGAGGGGTCAGGGGCAGAGAAGTGACAGCTGCCCTGGCTCCAGGCCCCAGGGCAGGTCTGCAGCCACCTCCGGGCACCCGCCGGGCAAGAGGGGACCTGGCACCGAGCCCGACATGAGGACAGGCTCCATGAACTGCAAGAGGAACAAGCCACATCCCTGGGAGGCTGAAGAGACTACATCTCCAGAGTGCCAGGCTCCCCGCTGAGCCAAAAAAACCGCAGCAGAGACCCAGCGAGCAGTTCCGCTCCTTGCTTTGAAACAAGGCCACCTGAGATAAAAAACCGGAGCGTTTCACGCTGCGAGCTGTGGTCGCTGTGGGGTGCATCTCCGTATTAGAAACGAAAGATGACAGACTCCTGCCACCCCACTCCAGATCTGTGCTAGGCACGTCGGTCCCACGACCCCCGAAGCCCCTGCCTTCCTCTGCTGCCGAGAACTCAGCACGCAGACATGCAAAAACCAGCGCAGGGCACGTAAGGGCATCCCACGCTCTGCAGACGGAGCTGAACGTCCCTAGTCCTGTTTAACAAGCCTTCAGCAAAGGATTTCCCCCCCCAGTCTCTCCTTGTTGGGGTCACACAGGATCACGCCAGCCTCGGGGTTCCCCCACTCCAGAGCACGCAGCTGCGAAGCCCTCGGAGCCCCGAGGCGCTGCACTGGTGGACGGCAGCTGAGGAGCCTGCCCCATCGGCACCACCCGGGCACAGCACCCAGCATGGGGCTGAGCGTCGCTGGAGCGGAACGTAGGGCGGCTTCACGCCCAGCAACACAAGGCAAAACGGAGCAAAACTCCCTGGTTTTAAGCTGACCCCTCTCCGTGCGCAAGCAAAGCTCTGCTCCCCCGAGCACCCTGCCGCTCAAGGCACCCCTGAGGCGCGCAGCCCCACTCGCCCTCCTCCAGCACCTCCCTCTAACACCGAGCGCAGCCCCTCCTGGCTTGGTTTCCACCTCTGCTATTTCAGTTCCAAGACACTTCTCTGTCTGAACCAACCTCCCAGGACTACGGCAGCATTTCCCAACCTTCTCCTGGCTGCAAGCCCGCTGGCTCAAGCTTGAGCACACCGCTGCTTGGAGGGGGGGGCAAACACCATTGCTCCACACCCCTCAGCCCAGAGCAGACCAGAAAGCTGCCTCAGAGGCAGCGCCGGCACTTGGGCCAAGCGCCCTTACCTGACAGTATTAGGAGCTCGAGGATTGCAACATCTCCTATGTAGGCAGCAGCATGCAGCGGCGTTCGTCTTTCTTGGTCCTGAGCAGGGATGCAAGAAACGAAAACTGCCAATGAGCTTCGAGGGCAGGCAGATCCCTCCCCCCCTCCAGTCTGCCCCAACGCCCCTCGTGAGCACGTGCAGCATCTCGGGGCGCAGGACGAGGAAACCGCTCAAACCCAGCCCCGTCAGCGTTGCTGCGGGGGTGCACAGCACCCGGGGAGCCCCGTGGGAACTGGGTCGTACGCAGTGCGAGCAGGGTGCCCGGGCCACCGCCCCAGCGCGAGACGGGGATGCCGTGACAGCTCCAGCCGCTCACTCCATCCCCTCGCTGACTCCCCGGAGACCGACCCGACCTGGCTGCCGTGCTGCTGGACTGAATGAACGAATGCAAAGCACGCTGTGACGGAGAGGAGAGCCTGGCCGCGCTCCGCAGTGCGCAGGCTGTCCCATTCCGCACACTTTTATCCAACAATAAAAACCACTCAGAATTGCAGACAGCTCCGACAGCAGCCTCAGACCTGCTGCAGGGCAGGAAGGGGCAGAAGCCCCCCTCTGATCTCAGACTGGGCTAGCCCGAGAAAAAACACCTTTCCCTTCCGCTTAGTCAGGGCCGGGCCCTGGGCAACCTCCGCCTCCAGGCGTGCGGCTCGGGCTTTCCTCAGGGAACACGCCACGGACTAACGCCAGGAAGCAAAGAAGCAGAGAGCCAGGCGAGCGCAACTTGGTTTAAGCCCCAGATTTTGTGTTTGGGGGGGAAAAAACGCAATCGCTTTTCATTAGGCTAAAAGCTGTTGGGAAAATGGTGGCAGTTTCACTTTTTTTGGTAACAACTTGTGCTGGTACAACCAGGCGGGAGGATGTGAAAGCGAAACCCAGCTGGCAGGTCACTGAACAAGCAACATTTCTAAACCTGCACGCACAAAAGAAATTAAGCGTTAACAATTGTGGGTTTATTCCTCCAGCAGCTGCGCGAGAGCTCGGCACAACAATCCCAACCCTCTCTCCTGACAAGAAAGGACGAAGCGCTGCCGGGTCCCCAGCCAGCGCAGCCCCGGAGGACAGTCCCCACTCCATCTCTGCGCAATAAGCAAAGACACGATCGAACCAGTCGTCCCGCTGGCACAGGGGCACCGGCACGGAGTGGC